GCAGCACAGGGGGCTATCAGTGCAAAGCCACGGTGGGCACGGCGGGCACGTTGCCACGGCCTGGCGGCAGCGCGGTGCCTCACTGTCGGCTCCCATTTGCTCTGACACGGATCCATCCGTGTCCCGGCCGGCGAGCGACGCTTCGCCGCGTGTTGCGAAGCGATAACTCAGCCCGCATTTGCAAAACAACTTTCCTCTTGTTTATTCCATAATGATCCATTGATTGTGGGTAATGTTGCATGCCCCGCGCCGCGGCGGGCGCGGAGAGCGCTCCCCTGGCACGCGGTGGGGGCTCCGGCAGGCGCCGACACCGCAACCCGAGAGCTCCCGCGGCTCCCGAGGGCTCCCACGGGCACGGACTGTGGGGCTGGGCACCCCAAATCATCCCGAGCATCCCAGCCTCTCTCCCCACGCCCTCGCTCGCGGGGAAGGGGCCCGGCTGTTTCTCTCTCACCCTCTCTGGTTGTGGCCAGGCCTGACATCATCCATAATGATGGTGCGATGTTGCCGGCGCTGCCGTGGCTTGTACAGGGGAGCACCTCCTGGGAACACCCCTGGGATCCCAGAGCGCGGCACGTGCGGGCCACGGGGATGGGTGCAGCCGGATGGGGATGGGAGATGATCCCGTGGTCCTGGCATCGCCCTGGTGCTGCCCCCACCACATCAGGGACAGGCTATGCCTGGGGAAACTGAGGAAAGGAGCAGTGATGGCCTTGTGCTGGCCGCACTGGGGGCATCATGAGCCTCCTGGGCCACCATTCTGTGGCATTGGGRRGTGGCACYCAACTCTGTTGGCCAAGGGGCTCCSYTGTCCCCTCTGCYGTGGTCACCAGCCATAGAGCAGGGCCACCAGGACACATGGAAGGGGCTGGGAGTGAGGCCACGTGAACTCAACTGGGACCCAGCATCACGACTACTGGCCCAGGAGTGGAAAGTCAAGCCCATGGCCCCTGCTGGGGACAGTGTGAGGGACAAGCTGGGGCTGGACATAACCCAGTGGGACACAAAGGTGGGCACCAACCCGCAGCGGCACTGTGGGTGCCAGCAGTAGTACRCACATCGTGCACATGGCCACGGCCACAGCGCCTTGCAGCAGGTGACAATGGGCTGGGACCGGTGCCCATGACGGCAGGACAAAGGTGAAGCCRTTTCACGCTGTAAACATCGCCGGTKCTCCGTGTGGGGCAGGTGGGGCCGGCCAGAGGCCGCGGAACTCGTGACAAAGTGTTTATGGTTTCTCTTCTGGGGACACCCGGGAGTGCCCTGGCCCTTGCCTGGGCTGACATCACCGTGCGAGGCTGGGGGAGGAAGAGGAGCCGTCCTTGTTGGGTTCGTGGCCGGGAGCGAAGGCCRCGGTGACGCGCGGTGCCGGCTGCGTGCAGCCCGGCAGGTAGGCAYGGCCCAGTGCCAGCCTGGTGGGGGCAGAGCCGCAGCCCCAGGGCTGTCCAGCCGTGCCAGGACCTCACGCCTTTGGCCAGCCAAGGGAGCTGCCCTGAGGTGAGGCTGAGCCTTGTGCCACACGGTTGATCCTGGCACACATCCCCTGCCTGGATCTGCTGCCAAGGCTGTGGAACCCCAAAGTACCCAAGGGACACCCAAACCTCAGCACTGGGGTCCCAACAAGAGCCCCCCACTTGACTTGGGGGTGGCTGGGGTCAGGGAATCCACTCTACCAGCACCCCAGAAGGTTCCTGGGGGGGTCTAGGCTGTCCCCAGCCCTAGGGCACRAAGCAGAGCCGAGCCAGGTGGCTGCTGGCCTACCGAGCCATCGGTGGTGCCACGCTTGCACAAGGAGCGGTGCCAGGGTCGAGGCAAGTGGCAGGAGGGATCCTGCAGGCAGAGCTCTCTCCGTGCCAGGGCCATGACTCCAGCTCTTGCATCCCCCCAGGGCACGGGCCAGCCTGAGCTGTGCCAGGCTCGCTGTGCCACGTGCCACCAGCATGGCACCACRCTGGGACCAGTGGCTGTGGCCAGTCCCGGGCAGTCAGAACCTGGCTGGATACAGCCTTTGGTATTGGCGGTGGTGCTGCGCCATCCACACCATGCCCACCCYGCTCTGGGTCAGCAGACAGCTGCCGGTGGCACCCCAAGACCCCGGGAAGGGGTTTGTGGTGGGGACCTCAGCCCCGTGTCGGGCCAGGCCCGTCGGAGCGCCGGAGGGGAGCCCGGCGCCTGCTRAGAGCGCTCCGAGACCCGTCTGACGGGTTCGTCCGCTCCTCCCGCACCGGACAAGCCCGGGCCAGCGTTTTCACGGGGCCGCCGCCCTGCAGCGCCTGCGGAGAGGGGGAGAGAAGCTGCCCTGCCGCCGCGGCTGTGCCGACCCTCTTCCCCYTACAATCCCCACCGGCAGCGGGGCCGCAGCCCCTCATCCCGTGCTGCCCTGTGGGGACAGCGGCTTCCCCCTCCCCTGGGGGAGCTGAGCCCCCCCAGATCCGCGGGGTGGAGGCTCAGGAGCCCACGGCTCCTCCCCGCTGCCTGTGGGGGCTGTGGGTGTCTGGGTRCCCCAGCAACGCCCCCCTTAAGTCTGACCCCATCTCCAGGTGCAACCCAGCCCCTCCTCCGCCATCCCCTTGGCTGGAGGCACTGGGGAGAGGAAGATGAGGGCGTCCCCCTCCCGCAAGAGCCGCCAGCGTGCGCCAGATCCCCCCAAAACAGGCAGGAGCCGGCATGCCCGGCCGAGCCAGACGCGCCGGGGGGAGTGATGCCAGAATTCCCATGGGGCCGCCAGCACCCCACGTCTGCTCACTCCGTGCAGCTGCTGAGGTGGCAAGGAAGGCTCTCCTGCCCCTGCTGCTCCCAAACATCACCCCAGGGCTGCATGCCGAGGGCCCCCCGCGCTGACCTTACCTGCGGGCGCTCCTGCCGTCCCTGCTGCATTCCTGAGGGAAGCACCGGGTGCCTGCCAGATGCTCCGTGTCGGTGCTGGGGGGCCGATGGGGGGCAGAGCCAGTGGTGGGGAGCACCCTGCATCCCCCTGCCTGCGGCACCGAGCCCGTGGCTGGACAATGCGGGTGGCACGGTGGAGGTCAGCCCTCTCCTGAACCCCTGTCCCGGCCGGAGCCCCCTCGGGGGCCAGAGCCCCTCGGAGGGCTGGGAGCGCTGCACGCCACCGTGACAGGGGTCCGTTTTTTTATCCTTTTATTATTTTTTTTTAATAGACTAAGAGCAGAATATGAAAATCACCAGCCAAAGCACTTGAAAAAAAGGTCGAGAATGGTTTTTTTTTGTTTGTTTTCTTTTGTTTTTCCCCAAAAAGTGTCTGTGCGTTTGCATAGGTCGGGTCTTCACGGAAGACGAGGAAAATCCAACACGTTCGACTATGTACAAGCCAGCCCGGGGCCGGCGCCGCTGCCTATGGTACAGTATAGATATATCTCTGTAGTCGCTCTCTGTACAGTATGTATAGATCTATATGGGTATGTACAGACTGCCCGGCCCCGGGGGTCCCTGCTCTCACCGGGCTCCCCCTCCTGGCGCTGCCCCCCAGCCACGGGGCAGCCACGGGGCACCGGGGGGGCTGCGGGAGGAACCCCGCGCCCCGGGACGGTGTCGGCGGGAGGTGCGGGGCAACCCAGCCGCATCCCTGCGGACGTGGCCGCATCCGCTGGCGGGACGGAAGGCGAGTCCGGCCGGATCGGTGCGTGCCATGATCCCTGCCCCGCGGGGCAGCTCTGCGGGCGGCTCTCCGGACAGGGGGTGGTGGTCCCGCGGTGGTTGCCCGCTGGCTCTCACGAGGGGCAGCAGGTCTGGGGGGCCGCGCTCGGCGGAGCGGCGCTGGCCGGGCCCCCGCGGGCACCGGGAGCTACGAGGCCAACAGCGTCATGAGGAAGAGCGCGGCGGCCACGGCCAGGGGCAAGTGTTCCCGCTTGGGGCTGGTGCCGCTGATGCTCTTCTCCAGCTTCGGCATCTCCGGGTTGAAGTTTTCTGTGGGGAAGAGCGAGACGGTGAGGGGGGCGGCGGGGCGACCCCGAACCCCCACCCCAGGGGCGGCGGCGCGGGGCGGGGACACAGCGCTGCGGGGACACAGCGCTGCGGGGACACAGCGCTGCGGGGCCGGGGGCTGTGCCTCACTCACCCAGGTCCTCGATCTTCACCTCGGGCCGCAGGGTGAACTGGGGCAGGGTGGGCGCCAGCTTCTCCCCGGAGTGCGACGCTGTGGAGGGAGAGAGGGGACGGGGGTCACACTCCCTGGATGGCCTCGCACCGCAGCCCCGCCCAGGAGGGATGGGGGACCCGCCGGCCGGCCACGCCGCCCCCGCTCGCCCACAGCCCCCGGGGTGGGCACGGGGGGTACTTACTGGAGGCGCAGCAGACGAACACCTTCATCTTCAGGCAGGCCCGGTGGTGGTTGTGTGTCGGCGTGGCTGCAAGGCAAGAGWGTGCTGGGAGGGCCTCCATGGCACTGACCCCCACCCCAGACACCCCAAAGCTTGGTGGGCCTGGGCATCTGGGCTCAGGGGTGTGCTCTGAGTTGGGGGAATGCAGCAGCACCCCAAATTCTGCACTTGCATTCGAATCCTGCACCCCCGTCCCGAACCGGCAGCCCCCAGCATCCCAACGCAGCACCAGGATCTGCCACCAGCACCGCGATCCTGCAGCAGCAACCCCTGAACCCTGATCCTGCATCAGCATCCTGTATCCTACATCATCATCCCCCCATCATCCTACTCACACCCCCATCCTGCCYCCCATCTTTCCCCTTATCCCCATCTCTCCCCGGCATCAAGTACACCCTCCCAGAGCTCCAGGTGCCCACTTTTAGGAGGGAATAGCTGACCACTCATGAGRGGAGCAGGGGAACCGCCCTCACTGGGACACGAGGGCACCCATGGTGGCTATGTGGGGGTCCCGCCCCGAAGAAGCCCCACGTACAGATGTAGTAGTACTCCTGCCCCGCACGGAACTCGTAGCCCAGCGAGAAGGCGCTGTAGCGCTGGAACTTCTCCGAGAACTTGATGGGGCTGTGGGGCGCGTGGGGCCGGTTGCACTCCCAGCGCTTGAAGCCCTGGCTGGTGTTGCAGGTGCGGTAGCCCTCCGCGTTCACCATGTACAGCACGTACTGCTCCAGCCGGTGCTCGGGCACCGAGGCGTTGTAGTGAGGGCAGTAGATGTCCAGGTAGTCGTTGACATTCACCTGCACCGTGTAGCCCTCCCGCCGCAGGCTGTAAGGGAAGGCAGGGATAGGAGGTCAGGAGCACGCCCTGCACCTCCCCAGACGCTGCTCCCCTCCTCCAGAGGGACCCAGAAGCTGGACAAGGAGCAGGATGCAGAGTGGGTGCTCCCTGTTCAACCTCCCGACAGCAGTGGGACCCCCGCACAASCTCAGCCCCACGGCCCCGTGGAGCAGAATCACCATCCCAGAGGGCACGGGGGKACCGGGGGAGGGCAGAGGCGCTGCTAGGGATGGGTGTTGATGTCCACAATTGGGGTGGGCAAGAGCACGGGGCACACGGGACAGCGCGGCTGGGTCTGCCGGGAGCGTCAAAGAGGAGACCGACACAACATGATGGGCAGACAGTCCCAGAAGGGCATCAGGGTCCCACAGGCACCACGGACACCATGGAGAGGACCCCGGCATTCCCGAGAAATCCCCGGCATTCCCCATTTCCAACAACCTGGAGCCGACCCACCGCTGCCGCCCACCAGGGCCCTGGCACGCGCCGCAGCTCGGAGCCAGCATTTCTCACCCTGCTCTGGCTAATCCCGTTAGTTCGTTAATGCCGTAAAGGGTGGCCCTGGGGGAGCCTCATTTACATTGATTAGGARCAGCAATCCCCTCAGATCCACTCAGGAGAGGCTCCGCTGGCTCCTAATCCGCGCCCGACGGAAATCCCGGCCGCGGTAATCCTCGCCGCCGCGCTGACCCGCTGCTCCTGCCAATTAATTACCACCCGGCGATGGCTCGGCACCGTGCCGCCGCGCCGGCACCGGACCCTGCCCGGACCACGCTCCGCCGACGCTTCAGCGCTGCTTCGGGGGTCCCTCGCCCGGATCCCGCAGGATACGGACGGCAGCATCCCGGCACACGTGGCCGAGCTCCCCTGTGGAGCTCCAGCTCACGGCGCAACGCTCTGAATCTTTTCCCCACCTTTCGGGACAAACCCCACCTCGCGAGCCCCCAGCGCATCACTCCGTGTCCCTTTGGCCTTTTTAGGGGTCCAGCCACCCCTCCCGGAGCCGAGCGGCTTCTCGGGTGTCCCCGGCAGGGCTGGGCAGGCAGCGGGCAGGGCTGCGCGTGCAGACGCCCCACCCTGCACCATCGCCCCCGGCGCTGTTTGGGGAGCCCCGGCACTCTGCCAGCGCCCGCGGCATCCGGAGCCGAGCGTTGGAGACGGAGTTATAGCGGGACGCGGTGTCGAGCGGTAAAGAGGGGAGCCCAGAAGCGCCGCCTCCGCCATCGGGGGGACAACAGAAGGGGGGCTGATGGCAGAACTCATCTCCCGTGGGACAGCGAGCGCAGCCCCACGCGGCCCCTCCCTCGCTGCGCAGCCGCTATTCCGCAGCCCATCCCGGCAYCCGCCGGCAACTGCTCCGCCGGGAAGGTGCTGAGGCAGCCACCCTTGCTGAGCGGGCGCCGGGACCTTTCATCTTCCCTCTTTGATGTGGTGGGAAGGG